AAGTACTGTCCTTGTGAATACTGTCTAATAATGACAGGGCAATTAATCTAAAAGTGCTGCCTAGGAACATATAAAATTTGCACTAAATGTAACATTTTATGTTAGCAATAAGGTCATAATGGAAACTGTTATGGCTGACGTCTCTCTCCCTCCTGGGCCTTAATTGGTTTTTCGGCTACAACATTCAAGGTAGAGGGGGTAATTATAATCCGACTCTTGGGTTCACACGTGAATTTATGCTAGGGGAGAGGAATGGCTATCTGAGAATTAAATGTTGGTGAGTCCAACAGTCACGCCTTCTCCCATGGAATTCTAAGGGTTGAGTTCATAATGGATATGAAAATTGTAGAAACAAAGAGGCTTTTAATCATTATCATTAAATTCAATAGGGTTCACGAGACATTTATGGTGGAAAGAGAATTTAAATAAACTTTAAGCGAGGAGTGGGGTCACAAGTGCATGTTCTTCTTAAATGAAGAATAAATCTTCCTCTTCTCTCCCTTGTCTCAATTTTCACCAAGATGATAAATAAAAAAGAATGGAGTGAGTAAAGGCATAATAATAATGATAGAACCTATAAATCACATGCACTTGCATAGTCAATTTCTTGGTTAAACACGACCAAGGTCATTAAGATGAGATTCATCTTACTCTCCTAAGGTTCCTTAAACATTTTTCCCATGTGACCATGAAGAGTCATACATAAGAGAGAAAGAATATATAAGCATAAATAAAACGTGAAATTTCTTCCTTCTTAAAGTGTGCATAGAATATTTTCACGTCATTGTATAGAACTTGACTAATTTAGGATAACAAGGACTTTCTATTATATTATTGTATTCTAAGAAGAAACAAGGATCACAAACAAAAAAGGAAAAAATAAAATGATAAATAAACAACACACAATAACAACATAACCTGCAACGAAAATTAAATAAGGGTAAAAGAACAAAAAAAAAAGAATGACACTAATTAAAAGTAATTAATTCATAGAAACTGTCTGAATTTAAAAATTTTACAAAAATCACATAATTCACGTAGATAAAACAATGCATACAACAATCCTAATTAATAATAATACATAGATTTTTAACACGCTCAATAGATAAATGTCTTTTGTGATAATTCCTTTGTTAATGGGTCAGCTATCATAAGTTTGGTGCTCACATATGTTCTATTGACACTTTAAAATGAAAATAAATGATTAAGTTAATAATTTGAAATAAAATAAAATTTGACAGCAATAAAGTAAAAAGTGAACCAATCAACGTGTGTAGGAGTAAAAGTTTCGCTAAACCATTCAATTGAATCGACGTTATGTTATTCAAATAGAATTCAAAAGTTTGAAAACAACGTAAATCAATCAACTGAATTAACTGCACATTTAAATAATAAATAACTGGTAATCATAATTTAATTTGAAATTATTTTAATTTTTTTATATTTTTTCCACAATATTCTTTTCATACATACTGCTAAGTTATAGAACATTAATTTCTTAACTTAAGCTTTAAAATACTTTTTTACAGTTAACCACCCCATCATGCAGTGGGGCTTTGGAATAAGAACGGTGAAGAACACATGCACTAGAGGAAGAAGAAGGAGAGAGGTCAAAATCTATAGAGCTTAATCACTGTGATTTAATCTAATTTTTTTATACGAAGTTGTAATTAACATATTCTTCAATAACCAGTTTTGTATTTTTCTCCCATAATAATTACTAAGTAAAAGATGCATCGAAGAATATTCTTCATTGAGTAATCCAAACTTTATGTTCTAATTTGAAATTTCCGTTTTATTTTATCTTTCGTGATATATGATCGAAATTCAAAGATGGTAAAAGTCTTATAATTTAATTTATAACTAACAGTGGATAAAATCATAGATGCTCTTAGCAATTATATATATTAATTATATTGTGATTGCAATCCATATATTTCGGCTTCCAATATTCAATTATTTAAATTGTTGATACAATTTGATAAATACTTTCCTATTTTCTAGTTAGTATATATGAAAATGTTAGATTCATTTTTTCTTAATACATAAGAGAAAACATGCATTTCTAAACATGATCTTTCATTAAGTCTTCTAACTAAAGAGTAAAGATAAAATTATTATATTTGCATGAAATAATTATTATACTAAAAGGTATCAGGAAATAAGTGGATAGCAACTGATGATACTATATATTAAAATGGTTCATCGTTGTTGTCAGTGTATTCTTATTAACTTCAATTAATAATAAAAAATATATTAAAATATAATTTTTATTCATTTACTAGTGGCTTATTGTTAAGTTTGCTCCTGTTAGTATAAAAATTGTTCGATAAAAATTAAATTTTTTGTATAAAAATTGCTGGTTTATATTAATAATATGTAATATATTATATTAAAAAATAATTTTGATAACTTAAAAAATTACTATATATAATCAGTAGATCACATTATTAATATAATACATTTTGCAATTACTATAAATCTATCATTTTATACTGATAATTTTTTTTTGTTAAAACAAATGTTTATGTTAATTGAAATAACTAACTGACAAGTCATTAATAATTGAATTTTTTTAGTATGTAATTATTGTAAATGAAAAGTCAAGTATAAATTAATCCCAGGGGCAGAATTTTATTCATCTAACTACCAAAAAAATTGATAAACGATGGAATGAAAATTAAATCACCTGCCAGATGACATGTATAATTAATACTATTATCTGGAGAGAAAAAACCTAAAGATATTTTCTAGATTATATATAAGTAACTCTTATCATTGAGGAATATCCATAAATTGCGATCCATCTAATACAATTGCAAATTTTAAAATGAATACTTTTTTAAAAAATTAAATAAATCAACACTTGATTAAATTAAAAGAAAATACTTTTTTTGATTGAATTAGATTAATTTTGTATTGAATTAAAAATAATCTTTTAAGATCTCCATTTAACTAGATTTAAAAATTATTATAAAATAATTTTAGAATCTAATTGTTTAGAAGCAATAAATTTTATTCTAAAAAGATTTAAAATTACTCTTTTTTAAATTATATTTCATTTTTTAAGATATTCATCATGTAATGTAAAATTTCTCTTATGTATTTGTATATCATATTATTTGCAAGATTAATTCAATAATTGATAAACTAACTCATTTAATATTTTTGTTTAAAAATTTCTTTCACTTTTTAAATGACAATAAGATAAAGTTTTTAGACTTCTAATTTATAAATGGTTTATATATTTTATAATTTTTTTATTTTTATTTAAAAAATTAATTTTAAATACAATTTTAAATTTGATTTAATCTAATCTAACCAAATTTACATGTAAGTATATATGCATAAATTTATTTTATTTTTTACAATATTATACAAGATAAAAATTATATGTATTAGTTTTTATTAAAATTATAAATTAAATGAAACTAAATACATTAGTATTATCGTGCTCATCACCCTTGGCTGTAGTAATTTTGTCTCTTGGCTTTTATAGCAAAATTGACTTCTCTTCACCCTTGATTGCAGAATTATTGGAGATCTTGATGGGTCTTCAAATGATTTCCCTCAAAAAAATTCACGTTATTTGAGTAGAGAGTGACTCCAAGAAAGCTCTATTCCTGGTTCTTTAAATTCAACAGCCTTGTCACCCCTGTTTAATTTGATTTGTAATATTAGATAATTGATCAGGTCTATTAGATTTGCTTATTTTATTTATATTCTTAGAAAAGCTAATGGTTGTGCTGACAAAATAACTAAGATAGGGTTAGAGGCTTAATTACCTTTCCATTGTTTTGATGTATCTCCTTCTCAAATATTGCTTCCATTTTTATGTTTTGATACTTGTAGTAGTTGGAACAATAAAGCTCTCCTGTGAGTCTGTTTTAAGCGTTTAACCCCGTTTTATAGCCAAAAAAAAAATAAAAAATACATTAATGTAATTAAATGTTATAATTTTTAATAAAAATTATTATATATTACTTTTTATCGTGTACAATGTTACACAAATTAAAAATTATGTTTATAAAATTAAAATACAACACTTTAAATTAATCTTTAATGTGGTTATTATATATATATATATATATATATATATATTAACTACATGTTTAGAAATAAAAATATACACACTAAAATATTTAATCCAATCTAAATTACTTTTAATACGGATTGAATTTACACGAAAATTGATATTATGTTCTAATCAATCTAAACTGAAACAATAGTACTCCTAATCGATCATCAACTGATTCCACAAATGAAATGAAATTGTTTGTTGTGTTCCAATTACCTTAGGGGAGAAAAAAGAAAATTATATCAACTTTTTCAAACATGTTGGTAGTTAAATTTTAAAGAGAGAGAGCGAGAGAGAGAAATTTATTTATTTTTTTGCTAAAAGAGAGAGAACTTTTTATATTATATTATTATTATTATTATTATTATTATTATTATTATTATTATTATTAAACTAAATAAAAATTTGGATGTTAAACATATATGGATTCAGAGAATAGAACGTGTAATATTTGGAACTTCTATTATTGGTCAGTTTTCTCTAAAGCAAGTAATTAATATCATTAAATATAAAAAATATTCCACTAATCATTTAAACCAATCAATTTGAGGACTAATTCTGTCATGAGCATTATTTATAATACATAACGAATATGAAATTCATCATCTAACAAAATAACAATAATAATTTTTTTTACTAAACTATTTGCTAAAATTATTTTATAAACCTTTGATTGATTGTATTTGTAAGTATTGTACTCGCCCAAAAATTGCTTTAGTGTTAGATAACCTATATAGTTTTGAAGAGATTAATTCATGATCAATTAATGTGCTGGTGGAAATATATGTGGTAGAAACTGGGTATATTTTATTTTGCTATGTTTAATCTCATAGAATACAAGCATATTTAAATAAAACATGAATTTTCTATATATATATATATATATATATATATAAGTACTTAGACATTATATATAACATAGGATACTAAAAAATCCCGTTTCATTCAAACACAAAATGTTTAGAAAAAAAAAAATTCCAAAGGTACTATCAATATGATATTACAAATTTGATCACCTTCCAACCTTTCTCAATGTCGAGGAGAGAGTGAACTTATCTGAGCATATGTTATCTTTCGTGTAGCAATCATATTATCGCTTCAGAAAAAGCTCTTAACCTTGAAAACGCCATTCTTTCGTTGACCTTTGCACGAGATCCATATAGATTAAACTGAATGCAAAAACTAAGTTTTACCTGTTTGATCTATATAAACACAGGAATTAAACATCAGAAAATCAAACATAAAATGACAAAAACAGAATTATTATTCAAACCCCATAACATTGAATCATATCTTGCAACTAATTGATTAACCTATCACTGCCCTCGTGATCCATGCATACTTGGTGAGGAGGACAATTTAGTTCAATAACTTTTGCACTATTTGTGTATTACTTGGAAGCAAAATCCTGGTGTTTTTGGGAATGGCTTTCACTGCTGTTAGGAGAATGGAAAAGTTTAGGCCTACCCAAGTTGAATGGTACTTTCCCTGATTGGCTCATGAGGTGTTGTGATGAACCGAGTGAATTGGTCAAAGGGTTTTGACAACTTGAACTCAGCATCTGATTGTGGTTAATTTGTCTTGGATTCATCTCCATTGCTGCAACATGTGAAGGGAAATATGGTTGTGTTGATCCAGGAGGACACACCAAAATTTGTGAAGTAGTACTCCCAGTTGATAAAGCCAATGTTGATGGGAATGGAACCACATTAATGCTGTGTATATCTGTTTGGTTTACAAATCCATGGTTTGCCAATTGAGCTACATCAGCTGAATTCGTCTCCCATTGGTAACCAAATGGCATAGTGTTCAATAAGCCCAAAAAAGAAGGATGATTTGCTCTTGGGTTAAGATTATTTGGCAAAACATGTGCACTAGGACAATCATTGCTTCCATGTTTATTGTTATCGGCTTCTTCACTTCTATTTATCCAATTTTCTTTATCACTAACCATTTCTCCGGAAACTTCTTTGGACTTTGATTTCCATATAGTGTTTTGGCCTGAACCTTCTCTAGAGGTGCTAACTTCATTACAAGTAACAAGAGATGGATAACCAAGGGTGAAGTTACCTGGGGGTATTGGAAGTGGAGGAAGTTCATCAATTTCATGTTTAGCTGCATTGAGCAACCAATCAACAACCTTGCTAGGTTGACTAAGTCCTAGCCTATCTTGGAGGTCATAGAGATGAATGGCAGTGGGAACTGAAAGCCTTACCCTCCTATCTCTTAGTCCTCTAATTGTGCATACTTTGCTATGTCTATCTTTCCCTCCAAAGGCTCGAGATACACGTACAATCCTTGGATCCTTCAGTTTTAGCCATTGTGATGTGCTTGATGAAGCCTTTGCCTTTTCATCACTTGAAACACCTTCCTGTTTTAGTGAAAAATCTGCTTCTTTTGTGCTATTGATCATTGTATTTCTTTCATTGTTGAGTTGTTTCCTTTCTAACCTTCATCAATGAAACTCCTAGTTTTGAATTCCACTGTCTCAATATGCCAGCTGTCACTCTAGTATCTAAATCTTCGAAATTAAGATTGAGAAAATTAATAGAAAATAGATGGGAAATTGCTTCTTCATGAAAATTATTGAAATTGAAAACTCTGTTCCAAAGAAAATATAAAGTAAATATGAATTCAGATCAAACTATCATCCTTTCTCAGAAGAATATAACATCAAAATTGATAAATTCACTTTAGAATAAAAAGTGAAGAATCTCAAATGATAATATATATATATATATATATATATATATATATATATAGCAAGGTTTATTCTAATTTATAATTGATTAATTTCCTCATTTAATAGTTGAAGTTGCTCGAGTTTTTCTTTGAAGTAGACTAAGATTTTCAATTTAGTTGAGAGTAATCCTTCTTAAATATAACAAACTAAGTCACACAGTTCCTCATAGTTGGATACATGAGGAACACAAGACAAAGAGAGTTCTTACCGGCCGCCAGCAACTATTGAACATTATTATACATAATGAATCAAATTCAATGATGACTTCGAGGGGATCAGAAAGGCCAAAATAATGAACGAAAAAAACCTAATTAACAAATGCAATTAACTCTAGAAACTTCGTTAAGTATGCCCACCCCAAACCATGTTAAATAGGAAGTGTTTGTTGCAACATATATAATTAACTTCAGTAAAAGAAACCCAAGGCAAAAACTAAGTCAAAGCAATTAATAGGTGTAAGGACTACCATGTAGCTAATTGAGTACAAACATACTATATTTGAACAAGTTTCGTATAGAAAACGTGTAAAATTGAAGAGGCTTAATAAACCCTAGATGTAGATGATAAGATAGTATCTAGCAAAAACACGCACATATTGAATATATACCTTGCACTGTTTGATGCCATGCAAATTATAGGAGTGAAGGGTGAAGTTTGCACCTTGCTTTTGATTATGCCAAGCTAGCTAGAACTATATATCAAGGTTCCAAACTTGGGTTTGCTTTGATTGCATAGAATAAATTTGGTGAAGAAGTTGAGTCCGCAGCTTAGAAAAGGAAGATGCCGGAATGGAACCGACCACGCCGCACTGAAAGATAAAGCAATGGCACATAGGTGGCCACGTGAGATATAAAATTATTGGTCAAATAAATTTGGTAGTCTACATCTTATCATTTTATGGTCAGGCATGATGGACAATGATTTCATTGATGATGGTAGTTAGGGGGGGCTTAGGGTTGATGTTTCTTTGTTATCCTATTCTCATTAAGTTGCCCAAAATTGGAGAAGTAATCAACAACTTTAGATCAAATTAAGTATGTTTTGGCATTTTGATTTTGACAATATATCTTCATATTTTATTTTATTTCTTTGATTCTAATGTAGGTGGGAGTTGCTCGAATTTATAAGAGACTTTATTGTGCGTGTAATCCATATTTAGAATTAAGTATCTACTCTAAACATAATGAATATGATTGTAAATGTCCGAAGAAATTAAATGTTAAAAATAAAAAATTAATGAAAAAATGCGAATATTGTTTCTCTTGACAATGAACACAATTGATTAATAACCTCAATGGACCATTCCTTACACGCTTCAAAAAGCGGCTAGTCACGCTTTATCGACAACTACAAAAGATTTTGTTACTGAAACGCATCACATGGGGGGCCATAGAAGCAAGACAAAATAGCATCAAAGAAAATGTTGTTCTTCTTAAGAGCAAAGCCTTATAAATTGCTGCATGCTTTCTATTTATTAATTATTACTCCCTGACATCGTTTCTGAGAGGTTTTCACTGAACATTTTCTTAGGCTCTTGATCCGAAAAACTTTCAAAAGGAATGACCATTATTAAACGAACTAATCAATAAAAACTTGAGAAACAACTCACAACATTATAAATTGATTATAGCAAACTTTCTAATGGCGGCAGTACACTTAAAAAAATTTCTTTTTCATATTTTTGGTAAGCTTTTTGTTTTGTTAGTGTGATGTATCAAATTTAATCTGAAACTACACATTTTATTAGGATACATGCTTTTTATTGAAAAGTGTAAGAACTATTTTTCAACTTTAAACATAAAAATCCTTAATGCGTGATTTTTTAAGTGGTTTTACTAATACTGTATTAGGAAAATTAACCTTCCCACAGTGTACGAACCAATCACATACTTTACCCTTTGGAATAAGACAATAAAAAGATAAAAGGAATGAAAAGAGATAAAAGATAAAAAGGGGGAGAAAAAACAAAAATACGGGAAGGCATCACATGGAGAAGAAACAGAGAAACCTACTTTAGATAAGTCATTTAGTAAGATTCAAAAGTTGTGGTGTCTAGTCCGAGAGAATTGTCATGTCTTTGTGTATGATAACTACTTCGGACAATGTAAAGCTACATATAGGGGAGGGACCAACACATGTTATCTTTACTCAGGACCACACACTTCTTCTATTGCAGAGAGATATGCATGGGAGGGGCAAGTTGTGATTTTCACTAGTTTAGCTAATAACACCCGACACCCACAAGTGGATTAATTGCATGCTTTCTTCAAAAGAAAGTAAATTAATGAATTAATTTTTTTTAAATGTTTTCAAGGATAAATAATAAAAAAATTAATAAATATTTTTATTAAAAATTATGATATTTAATGTTATTGATGTATGATTTTTATGATATTTTATAACTTTAACTAAAAAAAATTATATATAAGTTCTTATTTATATATATTTAGCACGTTAAAAAAATGTTAATAATAAGTTATAGAGAAACGTACGCAAGTTTTCTTCTCTTCTTCATGTGACAAAGTCGATTTGAAAATGGTTTAGCCTTCACCATTGCGATTGGGAGATGGATGTAGATATATACCAACTTCGAAACCCTAAAATTGCACCCACGGAAGCCCTCTATGCCAGGCGTAACTGAAGAAGATTTTCATTTAAAATTTTCCTTCTTTGTTTTGTTTAACGTGGATACATGGACAAACCCTGAAACATGCACAAAGTGAGGAAAAACTACAGTTTTTATTATTTAAATTAATTTATCTTGTATATAATATTATATATTATCTTATTTATTTTTTATATACGTATTTCTAAAATACGCTCCTGAAAATAAAAAATTATCTCCTCAAAAACGTATAAACATCATTTTTCGAAAGATTGTGATCGATTTCTTCACGTTTATGTACGTCGAAAACTTAATCAAGCTTAATGGTTGATTTAATGAGAGAGAAGGAGAGGATATTATAGAAAAAAACTATCTATACTGATATTCTAGTAATTTTGTTCACATCTGGAGTCTCGACTAATATTCCGAAAGATACAATTTCTTGGTTTGTTTATTCGAACAAAAAAAATGTACCCTTCTTTCATGTTCCATTAAATGTAATTAGGAAATTAATTCTATTGCTTCCATTCTGCTTCACAATTATACATGACATGAAAAACCCTAGGCATAACTTGGTTTCCTTTATGTCCAAATCTACAAGAGCTAGATGCACTACCAAACCTGAAATTTTAAATAACTATATAGCAGCCATAGAAGTAGTACTTACTCCATCTAGCTATAGCATTTCATCACTGAAAGATAGTTAAAAAATTCTTTTTAAAAATGGAAATATGTACGTATGAGTGAATAGGTAATAGTAAAATATATCATATCAACCATATGCGAACCTTGTTAATATCATGACACATCAATAATGAATAAAGAAATAGATAAATTAAGTATAATGATCTAATGAAAGTAGTTGTAAAAACAGTACACTATATTCCATAACTTTATTAAAACCAAATAAAACATAAAAAAAAATAAGAAGAAAAGGAAGAAGAATATAAGGAGAAGGATGTATGAAGATCATTAAGTAAGACAAAAATCAAGCTGGCCTACTCCTTTCTGAAAGGAGAAAGCAAAAGAAATTATTCTTTTCACTGTAGGAGGTTCAAGAGAATCCACACTTCCAGTGTTGTTATCCATTCGAGAGCACACTGCTATTATTTGTACCAGACTTGAGAGAGTGATAGACACAAAGAAAAATCTTAAGGAAAAATGAATACTGGTTGGATATGTATGTCAACTGTTAAGAGACTCTAAACGAACATGAAGTAATGAGGGGCATCTGAAGAGGGTTCTTGAAAAACTGGCTGATTAATAACTGAGTCCCTGAAAAGAGTACAATTATGGTCCAATAAATGGTCCACAGATTCATAACAGAAGCCTTTGGTCACAGCTCATGACTAATCGCTCTCACCTTTCTGAATAGCCAGAATGCAGCAGTATCTAAGCCTGTACCATTTCGCAGCTGCAACTTAATATAGGCAGTGAACTATTCATATGTGAACTGTGAAGTGAATTTTAGTCTACTCCAAGTATGATTGTTTTCTTTAATAATGTTATACTATGTTTGGCTTCACATTTAAATATCTACGGATACATAATTATAAGTTTTTAAACATATATCTAAACAAATATTTAATCGTAGAATCTGCGTTGAATTCATGTTTATAATTTTTTTTAACGTAATTTGAAATCCACTTTTTAACTCTTATATATGAATCATAAGCAAGTAGCTAATAATATCTCCTATCATAAACAATTTAACTATATGAACATTTAGCTGAATTTTACAATACAAATTAAGTCACAAAGCATGTTCCGATCCAGCTGACAGAAGGAACGAGCAGCTTACTATGAAGTTCATCTGAAGTCCCGTTTTTACACATTCAGCTCTTAGGGTTGGGTGAGGGTGAGACTGCCAGAAGAAGTGAAAACTCCTAATATTGACCCGAGATTTCAAACTTCAATTATTTTATTCTTATCATAAAAATTTCATTTAATTCGTGACAAAATAAACCATTGTCTACGTAACTTTAGTTTTTTTTTAATTACTTTTCAGTATCATTATAAATTAAATTTCATGATAATTTTTCGAAAGTCAAAAATTAGAATAAGCAATGTTGATAATTTAAATTTAAGAACCAACTCGCAACAAAAGTGATTCCATGAAATAAACCCAGCTGGTGAAGCCATTGGAACAAAGGCACACCTCTGACATGTTATCCAATTGAGTAATGCTATTCTTGAAAATTTTGACAAAATTTAGTTACAATTGTTGTACGAATAAATTGTAGTTGTTAAGGGAAAATATTTATTTAACATCTCAGCGGAAAAGGCGTATTTGGAGCATAAACATGTAAGTATTTATATCTTTTATTTATTATTAACTTTTCTATATACACATTTTACAAATATATATATTCTAAATTTTGTTACTTCACTTTGGCATATATAAAATACTTTTTCCCAGTATCATTTTTCAAACACACAAGCAGCACAGTCATATCTAAGGATTCGAATTCTCTGCAGTGGCGCAGCCTCTGCAGCAAAATTCTCAGCTGTTAATTTTATATCCAATGTTTATAAAATATTATAATATTTTATAGTTATATCCAACATAAATAGGCTATGCTTTTGGAGAAGGGGAAGAGGGTGGAGGGCTGCAAAGGATCCAAATTGATATCTAAGTAGGGGCTGACTCAAAAATGAACTAACTAAAGCTTGAGGTCCCAAAAGTAATGGATTAAAAATGCTTCTAAATATATTGTAAATTATTTATATTTATCACTTAAAATAAATATTATTAATTAATGCATAAGCATGTTAAGAGTAAATATTTTTTGTTAAAAACTATTTTTGTCATGTTATTGTAATGTATTTTTTTCTTAATTAATAATTACTTTATTTATCTTATATCATTTTACGTTACTTTTTATTAATCTTAATTAAAGTATATGTTTTTATTATTCAAAATATTATAAACATTGAAATAAAATAAAATAAAATCACCAACTTATAAGTTATTATAAATGTTAATTAGCTATTACGTACACATATAAGATTTATGAAATAATGTCAATAATTAATATAAGTTTCTAAAACTTAAAATCAATAAACTATTATTTATGCAAAACAGTGTCTCAATAAATATTAAATAAAATTAACTTTAACATAATTAAAAAATATTAAACGGGTTATTCCTAAAAGAAAAAGAAAGAAAAAGAGCTGCTGGTTCCATGAAATTCAAAGTCATATTTTCATCCTAATTAGTGATTGCGACTACTCACACACATTGATCTGTGATT